CAAAGCAAACCCTAACTTTAGATAACCATCGTTGGGATCTAAAGGAAGGAAGGAAATCGTGACTCCCTTTTTAACCCCCAAAAGGTTTCGCCTCACAGTGTGAGATGCTTTTGAGTAGGACTTTTTTCCTTTCTGTGCAAACTTGTTGACCTGGGATTTTTGCACAGAATTTGGCAGAAAAATACTTTTTACTTTTTTTAGTTTTGTTACACTTTTACCCCGCACCCCCTAAACAAAATCTACTCGGGGTGGCTTACATACATAATAAAACACAACAGTATACGAAACATAATAAAATCATTTAAAACTAAAAACAAAATACTTGGCACAAAACATTTCCCACAAAATGCAAGGATGCAAACATTTGCAAACATTTCCCACAAAGTGCACAAGTTGTGTGTGTGTGCGCGCACGCGCTGCTCCTGATATAAAAAGCCCTAGTATTTTCATACTTGTGTAGGAGCAAAAAATCTCACTGACAATGGGGTGGGTGCCTGATAAGTTGAGATGGTGTTTCTCATCAGGGAGAAGGCAAGTTACAAGCATTCATTGCATCCTTCCTTACTGAATAGATAGATGTTTTAGCAGTAAACCATTAGTATTGAAAATAGGGTGGAAGAAACTATCTGAAACCCAGCAGTTAGTTGAAAATAGAAGAGGCCCGTTGAATCAGTTGGGGATTTAGCGAGTCATCTCCATTGGACGTTCCACTAGTTACGGCTTACTGCTAGATTTCAACTGTTAATGTCACTATATAAGTACTTGCTCATGCGTAAATCATGTGTGAGGCGGGTCATATTCACCTTGTTTAAAAAACAGTATTACAGAGCTAGGAAAAAAGTACATTAAAGAAAATGGTAATTGGCAGAGGGATGCTTTTAAAAAGGAAAAAAAGCTATCTTCGGCCCCAGTTTTGGGTGGAGAAAATAATTATATAAATTTAATAATAGAGATCCAATGCAAAAGTGTGTAATTATGAAAGCTATTTAGAAATTCTTTGCTTGTTTATTTGACCGCACTTTTCTCCTTAAGGCGGCTTGTTTGCATCATTAAAAAAACAATATTTAATGCTAAAAAGAAGTATGCAGATACTTTTTTTAAAAAAAAGGGATCAGTGAATACAATACCAAAAAGCATAAACAACACCAAAATACGATCAATACATTAAGACTCAATAATCCATTTAAAACCTGCCCTTGGGGAAATCCTGCCTGAAGAAGAAAAGTATTTGCCTGCTTGCAGAAAGACAGCGAAGAAGGGGGCCCCAGCCTGGCTTCTAACTTGAATAAAAATGGGTTGGTTGGCAGCCCAGTAAGAACAAACAAAAGCAAACTTCTTTGGTTATATAACACACCACACATGGCAGTTGTTCAGTGAAGAGCATTAGCCAGTTGGATGACTCCCTCTGTAAAGAGGGTGAAAAGGAGATAATAAAGGAAGGACGCGATGGTGGCGGCAGTGGGCCCTTGACTTTGGTTGCAACAGACTGGAGTTGCCAGATTGGGAGTGGGTGGCCTTGGTGGGCCAGGGATTGTCAAAAAGAATATCCAGAACAAGAAGGCAGGGCGGGAACGTGGGAGAGCCGCCCTTGCTGTAGGAGCCCGCGACCAGTTTTGGAAAATTGATATCGACAAAGTCTTAAGCTGCAGAGAGGGGGCCTGGAGACTCGATTGGCCCAAATCCTAATGACAGCTAGGCATGGCAGTTGTTCCCGAGCCCCATAACTATCCTTGAAACCTTTGACCGGCCACATGTGCTATTTATTTTAATTGGACTGCGTTGCATTTCATGTGTTATTAAAATATCGAAACAATACATTAAGAAGAAGTCATAAATGTCAAAAGCAGAACCCAGTAAAGGTGCAGTTATATAAAAACCCTAGAATCCAGGCTGATTGAATATGCCTTTTGCCTATTTACAGACTAAACGTTTGGCCTGTTGGCAAATTAAACCTGCCAGCCAAATCAAAGGGAAGCTTTCTCTGCTTGTTGACAAAACGGCATTAAGAGAGGAGGTGCAAATTTGAGATGCCGTTTTCTGTGATCGCCACCTATCCAAATGGGGTTGATGGTGAAGATGATCACAAGCCCACACAGCATGCTCTGGTCTATTGGATCTGAAGCCATTCAGGATTAGCTCAGTTTCCCTAGTGTTACTGAAGACTAGATGCCAGTAGAAAAGTTGTTATGCATAGTTATTGGTACTTAGTATGGCAGGTCCAAGCAGAAAGGGAAAAAAAGGTTTATCTGGAATCAGCAGCGTGTGCTGTACAGGTGCTAATGGGGAAGGCAGTGGTAGCAGTGATTTTTAAAAGAGCATTGCTCAGTGTTGCGTTTATTGTATTCTCAAAGGCTTTCACGGCCAGGATCTGATGGTGGTTGTAGATTTTTTGGGGCTGCTTGGCCGTGTTCTGATGGTTTTTGACAGTCTCTGCAGCCAGCATCCTCAGAGGTTCCGACTCCTGTCCTCCGAAGATGCCAGCCGCAGAGACCGGCGAAACGTTAGGAAGAAAACCGTTCAGAACACAGCCAAATTTGCCCGAAAAACCTACAACTACCATTGTATTTATCCTCTTTACATAGATCCCTGTAGCTGCCGGCCTCTCAGGGCAGAGGAAGAACTTGGTGGACCATTGAATAATGGCTGCTCATTCTGGCCACCTCTCTTATCTGTTGAAGGAGAGAGCGTTGTGTGCACCCCGAAACAACAGCTCGTGCACCACTTCTTTACTCGTAGGCAGGCTTGGAGATGGAAGGAAAATGAAAAAGATCCTCAGAAGTCTCACTTCTTGTAGCCACATTCCCTGTTGAGGTCAAGAGAGATTTGGGAATGATCAGAAGCAAGAAGTGGGGGATACAGTGCCTTCTCTAGTAAGGTGTTCTGTAGGTCCTCAGGGTTGGTATATCTGGTCCCTAAGCAGTAAGGTGGAGGAGGATCTGGGGCACTTCCACCCAGACAGATGAAGTTTCCTGTGGTTCCTGCAGGTCAGAGGTAAGCGACTGACCCTTCAGGTGTTGCTGGACATGAGTTATTACAGTCCCTCACTGTTAGGTGCACTGGCTGGATATGATGGAAGTTGTGTGTCCAGAAATACCTGAAAGGCTATAGTTGCTCACTCTCCTCTAGGAAATGAGAGTTAGGTCTGTACTCGTCTCTTGTTTGTTCCGGTCTCGATCTTCATCCATTGTCTCCTTTCAGTCTTGTCTCTATTTATAAGCAAGGGCTCTCCGTGTAGAGAATCGGGTCCATTCATTGCCACCATTAGAGGCAGGAACTGGTCTGAAGTTAGGATCCCACCCCCATTTGAAAGGGTAGACCCATTTCATTCTGTGGCCTTACACAGCCCAGAAGATGTCACTGCAGACCAACCCTCTTGGTTCACCAAGAAAAATTTGGACAGAGTGGTAGCCAGCAGTCCAGCAAAAATGCACTGCCCTAAGCACATGGCAACTTAGAGACTCTGAGATTCATCCTTGATTTCTTATGTATGATACGAAGTAGGATAGGAGGGGGAAACCTCTGGTCCAGAGAATGAATCTAAGCCTCCCTCTCTTGGTTCACAAAACGTTGACAATTCCTTCCCTGTGAAAATCATTTTTGGATGGTTTATCTAGCATTCTTATATTATTTTCTCTCAAATGTGGAGATGCCTCTTCTGAGGCTTAGTAGTAAGCCAACCAACTCGAATCCAGGTTTCCTTAGTAGCGAAACTGTAAGAATTTTAAGTTGAAATACTCTGGTAGTATTTGTGTTACGCCCTGTCAAGTCGTTTCCGACGTACGACAGTCCTGGCAGTCTCGTAGACTAAAGTCTGTGGCTTCCCTTATTGAGTCGATCCATCTCATCTTATATCTTTTTCTTTTCCTACCTTTGTTTTCCAGTGACTCTTGGGTTCTTGAGGGTGATAGCCACAGGGTTAATGTAGTCATGGTGCCTTCTTGAATCTTGTCACTCATATATTGTAAGAAATAGCAGATTTGAGCTCTTATGGTCTTTATGGGTTTTCTTCCCGCACGCAGCTCCGTTTTCACTTGTCTGGATTTTCCCATTGTCAGGGTCAGATAAGTGCAAAGAGAGTTGCATAAATGTCTAAAACAGAGTCAACAAGAAGATCATGTGGGGAAAGAAAATATCGAGAGCCTATAATCTATCTATGAATCCCCTTCTTTCCAACACCGTTTGGCTTTAATTTTCTCCTTTGTATTGTTTCAATTACTGCCTTTGACTTTGGTCCTTTTGAACCCATGTGTTTTATTAAATTTGGTCTTTTTCTCTGAGGCTCAGTGAAGTTAATGGTTTTTGTATTTTGTTTGATTCTTTGTTAAAACCGTCCCATTCCCATATAAAACCTCAAACTAGTCTTAAATTCAAGCTGTATTTTTGTCTTCTCAGTTCAGTCTTTACAAATCTTGCCAGCTGCTTATGGGGCCCAATTCAAGGTGTTTGTCATAACCTATAAAGCCCTAAACAGCTTGGGGCCAAGCCATCTGAGGGACCACATGTCTTGTTATGAGCCTATCCGGACGCTCAGAAGAGGCCCCTGACCTCTTTTTAGATTGATGTATGATGCCTAACCTGCCCTGATGTGTTGTTTATAGTCTGTGTATTTGTTGTTTTCAATGGTTTCTTAATGTACAGTAGGACCCTCATATCCACAGGATCAGTATCCACTGATACATTTATCCACAATCTGAAAATATTAAAAATATTTTTAAATAGAAAAAAACTGTTTTCCATGTATTACCAGAGGCTGCCACTAGAGGCAGCCACAGACTGTGCTATGAATCCTTGGTAGTAAAGAATACATAGCATGGTCTCTGCCCCCCTCTGGTGGCCAGTTCTGGTAATGCATGTGAAAAAAAATTCTTTTTCTTGATTTTGTTTTCCTTTTACTATTTTTCCTTTATGTGCTTGGAACCCAATCCTGAGCAGATATGGGGGTCCCCACTGTCTTGGTTTAATTAAGCTGAATCTGATGGAAGTTCTTACATGTTTTGCAGGAGGTGTATAGGATCCCAAAAAAGAGCCAAGTGGAAAAGGAGAGCAGTGGTATGTATTCAATAATGACTTTTCTTCTTTGTTACAACTTACAAATGAATAAATTTCTGACTGAGACAAAGGAGGTTGAGTATAAAAACCTTGTGCCGGTTAAAAAGTACAGTCAGGGCGTCCCACTCAGAGCCGTTTGAACACAACTTTCTTAAGACCACTCTTTGATTTGTTAACACCGACAGAACATGTTAAGAGTGTTCCATGGTCTGCCTTGTTTCCCTGCCTCGTGGCTTTGCTCAAACCACATAATCTGGTTTGTCCATGAAGGATTTCTAGAGGACTAAGGAAGATTTATTTTTTTTTAGAATATGTGAACCTATTAGATCAGGAGAATACAGCAGGCAGGAGATAACAAAGAGCCTCGTGGTGCAGTGGTTAAAATGCTGTACTGCAGCTAAAACTGTGCTCACGACCTGGGGTTCAAATCCCAGGTAGCCGGCTCAAGGTTGACTCAGCCTTCCATCCTTCCGAGGTCAGTAAAATGAGTACCCAGCTTGCTGGGGGGGCAATGTGTAGCCTGTATAATTAAAAATTGTAAACCGCCCGGAGAGTGCTTGTAGCGCTATGGGGCGGTATATAAGTCCAATAAATAAATAAATAAATAAATAAAACTAATATAACACACTTTAATATATCCCTCCCGTGGAGTTTAGTGGCAGGTAGGGATGTCTTGAAAGCAGCATAAAGGGGCTTCAGAATTGGTTGAAATTGTGTCCAGTGTTGATCTTTTTTTTAAACCTGGATTAGGAGTTCTTTGAGACTTGTTTCTTACCCCTATCCACTCTCCAAATTTTGAACAGACTTAAGCGTAGAAATAGAAATGCAGCTGCACTAACAAATTCTGTCTTGTTTTCGGCAGCTGACCGTGGGCGAGAGACAGCAGGTCGAGACCCGGCGGCGACGCCGAAAAACCTGAGCAGAGAACGAGAGACGGAGAGGCAAAGTCAGAGCACCAAGGAAAAGAAAAGGCGCAGAGATTCGTTGTCGCCTCCCTCCGCGTACGAGCGAGGCACCAAACGGCCTGATGACAGGCAAGCTCAGCTTTTCTTGAACGTTTTTGTCCATGGCTTGGGGTTGTTCTTGAGTGGAAATGACCAAATATCCAAATGAAGAGAAGCTACTAGCTCAGGAAAAACTTCCTGACTGTTAGAGCAGCACAATGATAGAACCATTGTCCTTCCCGGAGGGGGGGGGGAGTTCTCCAATGCTGAAGGTATTCAAGAGGAAATTGGACAATCATCTGTCCGATCTGCTTTGATTTGGATTCCTGCCTTGAGCAGGGAGAGTAACTTAATAGGTCCGTTCCAACTCATTTATTCTATGATTCTACTACGGTTGGAAACCCTGTCTTACTTTTCCAAACACACACACACACACACACACACAAAACATAATGGTAGAAGAAGGATGGTAACAGAAGCTTGATGATAGCATAATATGTATCTGGATTGACCCATGTTTGGCCACCGACTAGTAAACCAGCATGAGAAAGCTGTGACTTAGAATGGCATTTCAGCTGTAATTTAGCATAATGTCTGAGTTGACAAACCATGGTTATGGCCATCGTTTTACCTCTTAAAGGTGGTTGCCCGACAGAGATAGGTGTGAGTTCATGAACCTTTATAAACAGGGAAGACGCAGTGTGGATACCGTGAAGCAGTGCCTTCTCTCTCTGTCACTAAAATTCAAATACCAGTATCTTTTGGAAATGTTGCAAGAATTGAGTTGGGCTTTGCAACTTGGGCCCAAATTAGGAGAGGGTGAGGAAACGTCAAAGAAGGAGAATTGTCCTCTTTGCTGATGCTCTTGTTTTCAGTGACATTTAAATTGAGCTTTCTCGAAAGTCATGGCCAGGTTCTAGAGGTCTCGGCCATGGGAGTGAAGGTTGTTTTGCCCTTGCCCTCCTTTCATTGGGAACAATTTAAGCAGTAGAAGTTACATGGCTTTTTAAATCCATTCGCCAACCTGTTCATCAAATGAGAATGTTAATCCATCAGAGGAAAACCCTGATTGCCAGTATATATAAAAGAGAGTGATCCGTGGGATGCCATTAGGGGTCTTCCGTGTTTTTGTTGAACTACCCAGTAGATGTATTTAGTTGGGTTTTTTTAAAACATCTGTTTAAGCTTAGACTCTGTGTCTGAAGCTGTGATGGCATTTCTGTTTTTATTTGGTTTTTATAAATATCAAATGCTGGGTTTGGAAGGGCAAAAAGGCAGTATATAAATACATTTATTAGCAATGAGCAGTAGACATAACAACTCATTCCACAAAACTTATGATTCTTTGTATATTTGTGAGGGTCTTTCCAAGTCGTTCGGGACTAGAAAATTACTTTTTAAAAGAACAAGAGAAACGCCTCACTCCATTTTCAAGTACCTGATTCTTCACATGTTTGGAAACTGCCATTGTATCTAGCCTTGTGCAAAAGGGATTGTTTTCCCCCTGTGAATGGGCCTTACGCTAACTGTGACCTACTTAGAGTAGGTCCATTTGACTCGATGGAATTGAGGGAGAAGTTGGGTCAGCAAGTCCCCTTTGATTCAGTGGGGCCTCCTCTAGTGCAGTTTGTGACCCTATCTAAGCCGCAAGGTTTCGGCCATCCTTGAACAAGATCGTGTGCGTAGTGCAAGAATAACAGTCCTCACATTTTCCACATCGTTTCGTAGGGCTTGCTTTGTTTATCCACTGGGATGGTTTGAAAAAGCTATGACAGAGTACTTGGGACATTAAAAAGTCGTGTTAGGAGCGTGTGAGGGTGAGGATAAATGAAGGGTAGAAAAAGATGAAGAAACAGTTTTCGATGTATTCTTGAAGGCTTTCACGGCCGGTATCTGATGGTTGTTGTAGGTTTTTCGGGCTCTTTGGCCGTGTTCCGAAGGTTTTTCTTCCCTAACGTTCCGCCCATCTCTGTGGTCGGCCTCTTCAGAGGACAGGAGTTAGAACTCTGTCTGTGTTTTGGTGCAGTGTGTCGGATAGTTGAGCTACCAACTAGTAACCCAAACTCAACTATCCCACACACTGCACCAGAGCACAGACAAGGGTTCCGACTCCTGTCCTCTGAAGATGCCGGCCACAGAGACTGGCGAAACGTTAGGAAGAACAACCTTCAGAACACGGCCAAAGAGGAGCCCGAAAAACCCACAACAACCGAACAGTTTCCAGCTGGAGTGAAAGGAGAGAAGGGCAAGAAGCAGAAGAAACCAAGGCCCAAATTAAGCTGCATCAACAGGATGAAGCACCAAGGATCCCATCCCGTCTGCTTCCCCTTTTCTCTCAAAGCCTCGAGTAAGTGACTCTGTGGCACTGCACCTGCAGAGCCAGGCTGCAGCCCCGGGCATCTCCCCCAATGGCCAGAAAGAAATCCCACCGGGCACTTGGGTGGGCCAGCGTCGCTTAGGGTCACCAGTTCTGGACTAGAGGGACCCATATTTTGACTTGGTGTGGGGCAGCCTTTTGCCTTTGAATCCCTCCTGTGTCTCCTTGAGAGGGGCTGGTCGTGAGGGATCCAGAGGGCCCCTTCCAGCTCTGCAATTCAAAGGTGATTCTTGTACACAGAATTCTTGGCCCTTTTGCTTGTGGTCTTGACTGCGCATGGATGTTATTGAAACGGAAGGAGTCAGAAATTAATGCTAAGACAATTGATAGGAATAGCTATAAATATCTGATCGTTGAGTACAGTCGGCAGAAGCTGGAAGGGGCCCTGTGGATCATCACATCCCGCCCCTGTTGTGCTTTAGGTACACACATGTTTGAACCATGCTTTATAGCCATCCAGTGGGTTTTAACCCAGCGGACATTTCAAAATGGGTCAAGTCTGTAGCTTCGGCTCGAAGAATCATCTTTCTTTGTTCTT